TACTTATGTAATTGTATGTATGTATTTTTATATGTATTTTATTGTATGTGATGTTTTGTCTTTTATCTGCACCCCCGGTCTATAATAATAAAGGTATGTATATAAATAAATATCACCAAATAATAATAAAAAAAAAAAAAAGAAATCAAAGCCAGGTCTCTGTCCTAATTGACTGTTCCATGGATGTTCTGTTATATTTTGCAGTTAGTTAATTCTTTCTAGCCTCTCTTGGTATTATTTATTTGAAAAGCTTTTCTCATATGAGGTTATTTGGCATTTTGAATAGCTCTTGTACCCATAACTATCTTGCACTCGCAGGAAACTGAGTTTTACACATAAGTTGGTTTATTGACAGCTGGATGTGTGTGATTAATTATTTTATATTAGTGAAACAGTTACATGATGCATATTTTTGTAGTAAAGATGTTTTCCTACAAAAAAATTTTAACCTTTATTTTCTTATCTAGATATCAGCTTAGATTGTTTAAGGTTCCATCATGCAATTATGACAGATTTAAAATCATTTATTCAAATAGACAAGATGCAACAAAACATGCAGAACATTGAAATCACGTTTACATTTTGCTTGGTGAAAACTTTGAATACAATTACAGGTTTGTATAAGAACAGGTCCATCCATCCATCCATCTTCTGTAACTACTTGTCCTATTCAGGGTCACGGGGAATCCGGAGCCTACGAGCACAAGGCAGGGAACAACCCAGGATGGGGCACCAACTCATTGTAGGGCATCATCACACACCATTCACACCTATGGGCCATTCAGCAACTCCAATGAAACTCAGCATGTTTTTAGACCATGGTGGGGAAACTGGAGTTCCCACAGGAAACCTTACGACGACACGGGGAGACCCAGGTAGAGACTCAAATGCAGGTCCCAGAGGTGTGAAGAAACAATATGAACTGCTACACCACCATACCACACCCTACAACAGGTCCAGAACAGAAATGTTAAGTGTTTTAAAATAGATGTTAGTGAGAAAAAAAAGTTCAAAAGGCTCCTCAAATAGGTTTTGAAGTGGAGGAGAGTTAGTGTTCCTGAGTGGCAAGGGAGGGAGAATTGTCAAGGTGGCATGTGAGGTGAGATGCATTGCTCAGGTTTTAGGTATGATGACACTGAACCAGTAGGGCAATATGTGGCTATGTGGATTATGGCAACACACTCATGAAACTCAGTCTTGCAGTATTGCTTTAATTAAATCTTTATAAATAAAGAAATATTAATTTAACAGAATTATTCATAATTCAAAAGTTGGATTGGATCCAGGTTTTATTATATTGGTATTGTGTAAATGCTGAAAAATGCAGTATCAGTGTTGCTTTCATTATATTAAAGAAAATGTACTCATCTTTATGATGATGATTACAGGGTCAAATGAGGTGAAGCTGGCTGTCTACATTATTATAAATTCTCTGCATGTGCAGGTGCTGAATAGGGAATGAGTCTTAACAGCTTAATGAATTTCCTTTCACGGTCTCCCTCTGGAATAATGCTATGCATGTAGAAAAGTGTTAATGTTTGCTAAAGACGGTTGGGGGAGTGGTGCTGGGGAAAAGGATTTGCACACCGATGCATCAAGAAAATGAAACCCTGCTCATGTGATCTACTGCAAACAGATGACATCACTGCAGCAAAATCTAGGACAAAGGGCGGTGAGTTGATGTGATTAAGGTGGGGAGGGAGGCAGGAGGATCTTGCAAGCTGGAATTCAGCTTTTATTTCGATGTTGTATCTATTTATCACACATTGATTTTTGGCTATACTGACTGCAAAAGCCACACCCTCTTCAAAAACTCCATCTCACTCACTAGCACTAACCTGCCCTGACATTGTAACAGAATATATGTTTGAATGAACAAGCTATTAAGGATTCAATGGTTCTATTTGTCACATGCATGGTATACAGTCATGCTGTAACCTCCAATCAAATGCAAAGTGGTCAACTCTGTCATAATTAATAGTGAAAGCAAAATAAAAACATTGAAAGTAACTATATAATTAATGGCATAAATAAGGAAAGTTATAATGAAAAAAAATTGCACAACACAGATATACAACACATAACATTTTGGCAGAAACTGTTTTTGTGATATAACAAGTCACCTAATATTCCAATAATCATTCAGTTTACTGTCAGTGTAATAAGGCATGTGAAAATGCAGGAAACTACTCCATCCAAAAGCCTTTGTAAAGCACAAGCTGAATAATTAATAATTCACAACCATTCTTCACTCTTCATAGGGGAAATATCAGGAAGATGTCTGTAACAGAAGACAGAATGATAACATAATATATATAATGGAATCTCTCTCTATATAAAATACTTTTTTGACATAATCCTGATTTTCCGTGAGATGGGTTGGCGCCCCATCCTGGGTTGTTCCCTGCCTTGCACCAGGAGAGGCTCTGGACCGCCCACAACCCTGAATAGAATAAACGGTTACAGAAAATGGTTGGATGGATACTTCTGATTTTATTTCTTGATTTCTTGCTCCTATCCATCTTCATGCACTGTGCAATACTCACTGTACAATGCTATTTACTATGGAATTCCAGGCAATAATTTCGTTGACTTCCTTTGCACTTTTATTGTTCATTGTTGTCTATTATATAGTTTTATTCTTTATTATTGTCTAAATATCTTTTTACCTTCTTACTGTGTTGATTCAGCTGCTAGTCATTTTTGTGGCATACTTCCACATTATATTTATTTTGCCTGTCATTTTTATGATGTTTAAAATCTACTGTAATATGTACAAAACAGAATAACCACCAATTCTTCAGAGATGACCCTGTGTGTAATATGTTATGTGGAATAGTAGCATCCAAGCCCCACCGTCTGCCTGTGGGAAAAGTGAGAATGCTGCTCGTTTCAGTGAAACATTCAACTCAATCATTCCCTTGTATCATGATTTGGAGGTCATGATACAAGGTCAAAAGCAATAGCCTTCACAAAACAAGGTCTGACAGAACACCTCAACCTGGGTCATCCATCCATCCATCCATCATGCCAGGTCTTCTGCCCCCTGGCCTCAGACCAACAGTCCAAGCACTGCTGGAAACAAAGAACCCAGGGAACTTGGGATCCTGACTAGATGGAGGGATCCAGGATGAGGTGAACCAGAACCAGACTCAGTCACAGAGGAGTGAAGATCCCAGACCAGGTGCCAGGGAACATAAAAAGGGGCAAGTAAACAAAACACACATTGAAAAACCCGAAAGACAGGACACCAGTGGCACAGCACACCAGCTGTGAAACGCCAGCTACTTGGGATTATGAATGCCCCAACTGAAAACCAGCTGACAGGAAGCCTAAAACAAAATGCTGCTCAACAAGGACCATGAACCCCAAGTCACCCAAACCACATAGCCAGTGCCTACTGGCAGCTGACAGGCACAGAGAAAACAGACCTACACCATGAATGATAAAAGAGACATCTGACAAACCCTAAACTGTGCCCTATGCTGCAAGAGCAATGATGATGACCAAGCAGTGCAAACTGCTCATTGCTCTGTTTAAATAAAGCTGGCTCTCATTGCCACCAGCCTTGAGCAGGTTGAATTACCTGATTCAGTCAGGTAAGTCAATCCAGGTGCAAGTGTGACACCCAGAAGCTCACTGGGAAGTTAAGCCTGCTAAGCTTCAGGACTTCCCTGTCCAACTGGACGTTGAACTTCCTGACAGAAAGACCCCAGACAGTCATCACTGGAAACATCACCTACAGCACCACTGCACTGAGCACTGGCACCCCGCCTCCCCAGTGCTATATCCTCAGCCCACTCCTGTTCATCCTACTGAACATGACTGTACTGGTTTGGCTTGCAATCTCCATTCTAGTTCATCTTAAAGGTGTGCGATGGGGTTGACGTCAGGGTTCTGCACAGGCCGGTCAAGTTCTTCCACATCAAAGTCACCCAACCATGTTTTGATGGGCCCTGCTTTGTGCACTGGAGCAGTCATGCTGCAACAGAAAAGGGCCCTCCCCAAACTTTTCCCATAAATTTGTAATCGTACAAACTGTCTTGGTATCCTGAAGTATTAAGAGTGCCCTTCATTGGAACTAAGGGGCCTAGCCCAATCCCTGAAAAACAACCCCGTACCATTATCCATCCTCCACCAAACTTAACAGTTGGCACAATGTAGTCAGACAGATAACATTCTCCTGGCACCTGCCAAACCCAGACTCGCCCATCAGACTCGCCCAGACAGAGAAACCTAGCCCGTCACTCCACAGAACTCCAGAGTCCAGTGGCAGCATGCTTTACATCACTCCATCAAACGCTTAATTGGAATTGCACTTGGTGATATGAGGCTTGCATGCAGCTGCTCGGCCATGGAAGCGCATTTTTTGTGCTGGGGTTAATCCCAGAGGAAGTCTGGCTTTCCGCAGTTATCCAGTCAATAGAGCGTGGGCGACGTTTGCCTACTACAGGCCTCAGCACTCGGCGACCCCGCTGATCTGTTTTACATTTTAAAATGTAAATATAAAAAGATAAGAGCGATGACTCCACCGTGTACTTTATAACTGATTATCTCCTTTGTCTCATTTCAGCGGAAACTTTATGCTTAGACAGAGGGTCAATATTTGATTGTCGACACTCGCAGATAATGTACATATAGCTCATAACCAGACATCTTTGTTTCCCTGTCGTGTTAAGTTATTAGCTAACCTCAGTGCTTGGTGGAGAGTCCTGAAACCGTAGGATTTAAACCCTTCCTCTTATAAACATGTCACATTTTAAATGGCGAACGTCTCCTGCTTGGTATTAATCCTTTGCAGCCTGCTGTACAGAGAGTACAAATGACAGAAATACACCGAATAAAGCAAATAAGTCTTCTGACAGCCGGTTTAATAAAGAATAAAAAAAATCCAGCAGTTGCTTATAGATTAGCCAATGTGCTGATTTTCACGTCACGTTTGCGACCTGGCCACACCCTTAATGTATTAATGTATGCGGGCTCCGCCCACAATGCGGCAGTATAAACGACAAAGCATCACAACGCTTTTCACTAGTTACTACGTCGACCCTTAGCCGTCGGGTAAAGTAACGTTATTTTATTTTGCAGAAAAAGTCAAAGAAACGGTCGTTTCTTTTTTTATATTATTACTTTAAGCAATATAAACCCCCGGAAACATGGTGAGTAATTTAATGTTTTATGTAGTTGTCCCACTTCATATATTTAATACATCCCTTGTGTTGAATTAATACGTGGCAGTACAGTATGGCTTCCTGTCTTTAAATTTTAATAAGATAAAAAAAAACGATAAACCGTAATATTAGGGCAGGATTAATTACAGCAAAGCTGTAACTGCAGCGTAGATGATGCACAAAATATCCTGTGCGCATTTTGGCGGGTCAGGAGTAAACGAGCGTTTTTCTCCTCTAGTCTGCATCTTCGTAGTAATTGTGAATTTTTATTAGTGTAACTATTTTTTTAAACAACGTTTTCGTGTGTGTGTTTGTACGTATAGTAGTGGGACTAGATGTAGAACCTTCGAGATAATCTCTCACGTGCTGCACAAGCGGGTTCCATATCATACACATACACACCACACATACACATATATAATACATATATAATATAAGGGAAGAAAAGCCACCAGTCTGAAATCAGGACTTGGTTCGATTGGGGTCCGCGTGGCTGTCGGTGCACGTTGTCTGCATTTTTAGCGGGAAGTCTTTCCCGAAACGATTGTCGCCTGCTCTTTCTTTGTATGGTGATTTCCCACCCCGTATTTCGCGGATCACTGGGTGGCGATATGACATTCTTGTCTCGTAATCGTGGATTACAGCGAATAAAGCTTTTCTTCAACGCGCGGAAAGCGTGGAGGGGCACCTTCATGCAGACTCACACTCTGCAGTGTGGCGTATAAAATATTGCATCATTTGTACATAAATATCTAGTTTTTCGCGACTGAGAGACAAAGGGCCATACGGGGTTCACGTTTATTGTGTCAGCAGCTGATGAAATTTTGCCCCACCCTTCTGTCTTCCAGTTGGGATAATATGCCCTCGACTCTAAAATGTGGTCTAATACGCGAATAGCGGGATATAATAATTATATCAAACCGCTGAATATCTAAGTGTTTACTCTAGGGTATTAAAAGGAACGCGTTGATGTTTGGCTTTCGAAATTATAACGGGAAACCGAGGAATGCCGCGATATCCGTCGTCAGTAATAGTGCAGTAATGTGGACAGGCGTCCCTGTAAATCAAAACTGCGTGCCCTATCAATGTTCTGTTCTGTTACTGGAAAATCATTTTTATATGAGGGAAGAATGGCTCCATAATTAGCCTTTGAATGTTGCGGGTTTATTTCTCTGCAGAACAGGGCGGTGCCTCCTGGAAAAATTTACTAGTCATTCATTTACTTAGTCTCGGCCTTATTTGTGTGGTACACCTTCCTAATGGCAAAATCAAATGGTTGCAGTGTAACATTTACAATGGAATGATTTATTTTAAGTGGATTTTTTTTACACTAAAAGGAATGGGGTGGGATGTGCTGGCTGACATTTTAGTCACAGTGAAGGTCATTCTCAGTGTTTCCAAAGCTTCTAAAAGTAAGCCGTGAAAATGACCAGTTTCTTCAGGGTTATCATCATATGCTTTTAATTTGATGAGGAAACTAATTCAAATTTTCTGTTTTCCTCCAGCGTGAGTGCATCTCCATCCACGTTGGCCAGGCTGGTGTCCAGATTGGCAATGCCTGCTGGGAGCTCTACTGCCTTGAACATGGGATCCAGCCGGATGGGCAGATGCCCAGCGACAAGACCATCGGAGGAGGGGATGACTCCTTCAACACCTTCTTCAGTGAGACGGGAGCTGGGAAGCATGTGCCCAGGGCGGTCTTTGTGGATCTGGAGCCCACGGTTATTGGTAAGCTCTCTTCCTGGGCCCATTGAGTCAGCGCACAACCAAACTTTGCCTCTTTGCTAATGATTAAGTTTGTTCCTTCTCAGATGAGGTACGTACTGGGACCTACCGGCAGCTGTTCCACCCTGAGCAGCTCATCACTGGCAAAGAAGATGCTGCCAACAACTACGCCCGTGGGCATTATACCATCGGCAAAGAGATCATCGACCTGGTTTTGGACAGGATCCGCAAACTGGTGAGAGTCCTATACCATATTTACTCTGTTCTAGTTCCCCCCCTCTAGTTTTTACTCAGATCTCTTCTTTCACTTTCTCCAGGCTGACCAGTGCACAGGTCTCCAAGGATTTCTGGTGTTCCACAGCTTTGGAGGTGGTACCGGTTCTGGTTTTACCTCCTTGCTGATGGAACGCCTGTCTGTTGACTACGGCAAGAAGTCCAAACTGGAATTCTCCATCTACCCTGCCCCTCAAGTGTCCACGGCTGTAGTGGAGCCCTACAATGCCATTCTAACCACCCACACCACCCTAGAGCACTCTGACTGTGCCTTCATGGTTGATAACGAGGCCATTTATGACATCTGTCGAAGGAATCTCGACATCGAGCGTCCAACCTACACCAACCTCAACAGGTTGATTAGCCAGATTGTGTCCTCCATCACTGCTTCCCTGCGATTTGATGGTGCCCTCAATGTTGATTTGACAGAATTCCAGACCAACTTGGTGCCCTACCCTCGTATCCACTTCCCTCTAGCTACTTATGCTCCAGTTATCTCTGCGGAGAAGGCATACCATGAGCAGCTAACTGTAACCGAGATCACAAATGCCTGCTTTGAGCCAGCCAATCAGATGGTCAAATGTGACCCTCGCCACGGCAAGTACATGGCCTGTTGCTTGTTGTACCGTGGTGACGTGGTACCCAAAGATGTCAATGCAGCCATTGCCACCATCAAGACCAAGCGCACCATCCAGTTTGTTGACTGGTGCCCCACTGGTTTCAAGGTTGGCATCAATTATCAGCCTCCTACTGTGGTTCCAGGTGGAGATCTGGCCAAGGTTCAGAGGGCTGTATGCATGCTGAGCAACACCACTGCTATTGCAGAGGCCTGGGCTCGCCTAGATCACAAGTTTGATCTGATGTATGCCAAGCGAGCCTTTGTGCACTGGTATGTGGGAGAGGGTATGGAGGAAGGAGAGTTCTCTGAAGCTAGGGAGGATATGGCAGCCCTAGAGAAGGATTATGAGGAAGTGGGTGTTGATTCAATTGAGGGTGAAGGTGAGGAGGAAGGAGAGGAGTACTAAGGGTGACTGGCTTTCTGCTTTAGTACATCTCAAGCATGCTTGTTATTGGTCAGAAGTTTACATACCTTGGCATTTCTTATTAGTTTAGAGTATTACTACCAAGTACTATCACACGAGTATTTGTTGACTTGTGACACCTAAATTGTAAACAAAATACTGTGCTTGTGTCTGGTGTTGTAATCTCCAATAATAGCCAACCATTCTGATACTTAAATCTGGTACTTATTTCATGTGTTATTTTTGTAGTTTTCTTTTGACTGATATGCAATAAATTATTAAATTGAATCTCATTTCTAGATTTTTATTTAATATCTGCATCTGTGTTTACATTCTGCCTTGCAAACATGAAAAGCACCACAAATCAGTTGTGGATTTACACATATAATTAAACTCTTCAGCCTGGAACCAGATCTGCTATCATGTATAAGTGCTTTTTGTCATTGCTGGCCATATTTGCATAGTTGACATCTTACAATCAGACTTTCCTTGTTCATTCTAGACAGTATAGATTGTTTCCCCAATGAATGAAGTGTTTCTTTATGCGTTAAACAGATTGCGGGCAGTTATTCACAGGAAGTGAAGAACAGTTATTTGACTGCCTTATTCGTGCCCCACCCATGACTATGCAAATCTTAGTCCTGCATCCCTCTACTGGCCACAGAGACTTAAAGCTATGCTACAGTGACGTAGGGAAATGGAGATGACCCTTAAAGATTAGGTCAACCTTTTACACTTTCCGGATAGGCAAATTTTAATGCATACTGAGTTCCATATTTCAATCTTCTCATTTAGACAGGAATTTATTTAATTGGGGTTTTCCATTATCTAAATAATTTGCAGTTGATTTTCCAGAGCATTTGAATAGGCAGATACATGTAAGGCTTATTCATTCATATGTTTGATATGACGTTGAACTACCAAAGGTGTCTGGACTGGAAACTGCATTTGGCTGTCTGTATTCAAATCAGAAATGGAACCATAAATCTCAGTTAAGATAAAGTATGCACTATAACCAAAAATGCTCATTGTAGGCCTTTTATCAAAATTAGCAGAGTACATCTTATGGAAAAAATAAGGGGACTCTTGTTAACTTTAGATTATGATCCTTTCAGTTGGACTGCCAAGCTCCAATTCTGTAACTGAATTACATATGAAGTATTTAGTGTAATAACTCAAAAATGTCAAATTTGTGCTATGAAACAAAATGAGGGAAATACAGGCAAATTATGCATGACAGATGATTTTAGTAACCCTTCAATGTTAACTCCTCTGGAAGATAAAACTATTTACTTTTTGTTAAGGTCTAAACTATTAATAGGCTCAAGAATAATATGAATGAGAAATAAGGACTGTGGTAAGCTTTTTGATATGTGATGTGTTTAAAATGATTATCCTGCATGTATACAGAAGTAATCATTCTGATTAAGATAGAAAGTTCATATTATTGTATGACTTTTTAGAATCACATTCAACTATATTAAAACATAGATTGGAAGATTAACTTTGTAACATTTGCTAACATTCATATACAAATGCCTATAAGTCATTAATAGAAACAGATTTCTTTATCTTCCACTTGTTTTAACAGTGTTCCATCAAAATTTACAGGAAGTAATAGCTTTGAATGCAGAATGGCAGAGAGTAAAAAATCTGTGTGCAATATGTCTGCATCTGTTTCTTTCACACAAGGTAACACAAACCTTTCATTAATGTGGAGCAGCATAGCTGAGGAGTGTAAGGCAGCAGTGCTTTCAATTATATGAAAAGAGACAAGTTTGAATAATGAAGTTTTTTATGAGTGTAAAATTTCTATAACAAAAAGATATGGCATACACAATAAAATAGAAACACGACATACAATAAGAACGTCAAGTGTAAATGCCTGGTCAGTTTGTCAGTGCTTTTTGTGCTGTTAGGAAACTTAACAATAAAGCTGTATCAATTGCTAGATTAAGAAGCACAGTTTTTACTGAAATATTGTTTTTTATTTTTATTTGTTGAATTTTCCTGTTGCTTCAAATACTGCAGGTGTTTGTGAAGAATGTAATGTCTACTAAAATATTCATGTACTTGAAGCACCAGACAATTACAAAAGCTGACTCCAGCCTTGATTAGTGTTAACAAATTTAATGATGATGTATCAGTTCATACCTGTGATAACTTTATGTATTTCAGAATATAGTTATATGTATTAGGAATGAATATTTTATATTTTTGTCTAGGAAAGTACGCCCCCATGTGGCCAAAATAAGCAGTCCTACAAGCTGATTTGCTTTTCTTGAGTATTTTTGAAAATACCCTTCAAATGTATTCTTGTTAATGCAAATAAAAAAGATGTAATTGATGTAAAAGTTTTGGTCCATACCTCAAACATTTTATGTTCCACAAATTTGTTGCTGATTAGATTCAATTACTGGTATGGAAAATAATTGCTTTCTCTCCTTCAGAAGAAGGATTAGAGAGGCGGAGCAGCAGAACAGTTCAATACACTCTAGATCGCTACTGGATCCTGTTACCAAACTAGTGCTGCACTGAAACTCAATATGGCCTCCAGTTCCCAAAACAGAGGACTTTTTTTCCAACATAATGAAGGTATAAGTTTGTTGAGGGTACAGAAAATGTTTACAAAAGGCTATGTATTATGGGTATTTTCTATTTCTATTTTCCACAAATATTGCTCTGTTAAAGACTATAAAAAACATTGCTTGAAACACTTCCTGCTCCATATAAAGCATTAAACTGTGATTATAATGACTCATGCAAAGCATACCTACAGAAAGGGCACTGCACGTCACTGCAAACGCCTGTGGACAGTGGTACAAGCACAGAGCTGTACACTTATACCCAGCCATGCTCAGGAAAACAAAGTGTTAAAGGTCACTGGGTCTCCCTTGTACATATTTAATGTATGTTTAATGTTAACCCTGGTTTTGTGTCAAATTTTTTTTCACATGCAGTATTAATAAAATTGTAATCACTTGTTTTCTGGTGCTTCGATTAGGTTAAGAGACAAAAACATTTTGTTCAATTTCCTGACTTAATATGCTTTTTCCATAAAGGTTTGTAAGTGACACTGTATGTATAATAAAATCACGAAAGATCATTTGTGTGTATAATGGTGTGTGCATGTAATAGGCCCGTTAGTAATAGCTGCAGTGTGTGTTCTGACCCAGTTCACACCACCCCTCCCTGAAGAAGAGGCCGACTTTCCCCGGATGTCTGTCGGCTCAGCAGGTTCCACAGGAGCATGGGCACCGAGATCCTTCCAGAGCTTTCCAGTGTATCTTGCCTGAGTGGGTGGTACTCCTTGGAGCGCCTGGTTAGTACAAATCCACTCATCATCACATGACCTCAAAGCATGCCTATTCTACAGATATTTATCTATATTGAAGATAGCAGCCTAACTATGACCTAATTTTGCTGGATTTTTACTCAGCTTTACAGCTGGATAATTATCTTCAAATACCTTTATTTAGGATACTACAACAAAGATATAACCATTTTAAAATTCTGTGTTTAGCACTATGCTACCTACTGACCCTTTGTAACTGATTCTATAACGTTAAAGAACATTAGATTACTGTATCAAAAAATTGTTATGTCAGGGTAGCATAACATGGCACAACACAGCACGGATAAAGTCGAATGACATGGCAAGGCATTGTGGGAATAGATGAATCACCTGTATGTGATTGCTACTGCACCAACCGCAAAAGCCAAGATCATGACCCCCAGGACCATCGCCAATGTGCCAGCAGAGGAGGGGTTGGGGTCTGTACATGACACAAAATGTCAGACACAGTTTTGGCAGCAATACCCTGGAGAGTAGGCTCTCAACCCTGACCCACACTCAGTTCAGACTACGCTTGGTGTTTTGGTTGAAAGCTCGTTCTTCACATTACCAGATCTGTTCATCTACTAATGAACTCCCATGTTGCAAGACCATTATTTCCCAGTGTCCCCCAATAGACATAAAGAATAAATAATGCTGTTTTCTCTTAGTGTGGGCACATACCTACTGTTACGCTGACTCTGGTGCTAGTAACGGCCAGGCTGACGTCGTTGGTCATGGACACGTTAATGCAGAAAACACCGGAATCGTTGAAGAACTGACGTAAAATCAGCTGGCACTCTGGGGAGGGAGTCACCGCGCTGCATTCCGTCTGCATTGGCGTGATGCAGTCTGCATCCGACACCACAGTGCAGACCTCGTTCGGCAGGCTGGTCAGGTGGTATTAATATACATATGTTAAAGAACTGAGCATGAGATGGAGTTAATATGACAAGATGATAGATGGCTGGGACTTCTGAGATGTTTTATTGTGGTAGTAGAGCGGCTTTGGGGTCTCACCTCCCTTGGCAGGTAACAGTAAGATCTACAGCATTCTGCTCAATCGCACTCATTGTCGCAACGTTGGCCACCTGCACAATCTCCACGCTTTCGATCCCCTCTGGAAAGGAGGAGACAGAGAAAGAGAGAGAGAGAGACAGATAGTGTTAGAGGAAGATGAGGGTGAATCCAATGCAAAAAGCTGAATGGGATGGAGACTGACTTACGAATAATATCTAGATTGACAGCAAAGGAGCCATAGCGGTAAATGACACAGCTGTTATCTGTAGGCATTTCTGGGGCCTGCCGTTTGGCGACCACCACTGGCACTGGAGCCACTGCAGTGCCTGTCTCTACTGCTGCCTCCACCCCATTGGCCACTTCAGCTGCTGCTGTTGCCTCTGCTGATGAGTACAGTGTTTGCATAATGCTATGATGCTATTGACTACAGTATGGTAAAAAACCAACAAAGAGGTGTTTTGAGTGCGTATTACCTGCTGCCTCCAGTTCTAACCTCGATGTCTCAGACACTGTTGAGGCAGTGACAGAGGCTGCTGCCACCACAACAGCTGAAACTGAGGCAGAGGGAATGGCAGGCTCTGCACTGTCTGCCTGGAGGATCTCCACAGCAGCATTTTCAGCATTGACTGTAATGCCATCTCCGCCCACAGGGGCGGCAGTGTTAGCTGGCTCGTCTAGGGTGACGGTGACTGGCAAATTTTCAACAACTGGGGCTGCAGAGGCTGCGTCGTCAATGGCAATTGTGTCAATCGCACCAGCCGGGGTTGCAACTTCAACAGCTGGAGCAGGAGGTGCAGTCTGGGCTTCCTCAGCAGCTGGAACAGCATCACCGTTGATGTCTGCGGCAGCTAGATTGGTGACATCATCTGCAGCTGGAAGAGAAGGGTCTACAGCTGCTGATTCAGGCAAGGCAGCCACGCCCTCGTCCGCTTCTACTTCGGAGGGCTGCACAGATGCACCCAGGATGATGTCGTTGACAGGGACAGGCTCAGTGACATCCACAGCTAGGCCGATGTCATTAGCCTGCTGTGTGGGGTCAGGAGGATTCACTGTCATATCAGCTCCATCAGCTGTGGAAGCTATAATAACTGGAACTGTAGATGGTTCGGTGGAGTCTCCTGAAAACACAGAGGAAACACTTCTAAGCAGCATATTTATTTGATGTATTCTTCAAATTTACTATGGGTTGGATGGAGTAATTCCTTAGTGGATTCCTGTGTCACCAGTGATAGGCAAGTGTTCTTAAGTTCTCACCAGTGGTGGTTTGCTCTGCTATAGGCGCAGAGGGCTGAGAGGTGACCAGGGCAGCAGTGGGGTTAGCAGGGGTAGGGGCATCACCTGGGGTGGAGCAACCAGCATTGGCAATGGATGCCTGTAGGACCACCTGAGGCTGGAAAAAGCCACTGGAGACGTATGTGTGAGTGACACTGAGTTCCCTGGAGATCAACGTGCCACTGCTGTCGCCGAAGTTCCAGGTGAAGGTGACATCGGAGTCCTTTAAGTACTGGCTGGGGTCATGCAGGTTGACCGTGAAGGCGATGGCACGATTCTGAATGAAGCTCTGATCTGCCTGATTGACATCATTCACTTGTGCAAGTGATACTGTGAAGGGGATTTGATCTAGGCAGAGTGGGGAACAGATTTCAGGAGGGCATGTTCTACAATACTACAAATATAATTCTCCAACTCTGACAAATGTGCAGTGTCATAAGGAATAGTACTTTTGATGTCTACTAGGTCATGTTCTGTCCAATCAAACTCTTGTCTGGCCTACCTGTGATGGAAAACTGTGTGATGCCGTAGCCCAGGGGAATGAATTTGTCCTTGCCACGGCAGTGATAGATGACAACCTCCATGTTGTATGACCCCTGGGCAATGTTGTCTGTGCCAATCATCAGGAAGGAGGAGGGACCATCGGCCACTTGCCAGTAACGCCCTGGGACAATAAAGCCCACGAGATAATGTGAGGGGAAAGGAAACCCTCTTCTCCCTCATAGCCAGACGAGCTGAACACACAGGAACCTCAGGATTTGTGGTGGGCAGAAGATGCATTTAGGATCCTTCAAAAAGAAAACAGAAAAGCAGCAGCTTACCCCAGGTTTTCCAGACAAACACATAGCGGGGCTTCTTCTCTGAAACTTTTGTAAAGGGAGTGCCATCGGGAAAGACTCCACTCCACTCCCCAGTGGTGTTTCGCTCTGGGTACACAGGCTGTCCCTGACGGTACTGTGTCCCTGCAGCAAAAGACCCAGCCCCTGGTCATCAGTATGTTGGGTTTGCATGGAGAAACACAACAAGTCCAGCAAAAACATATTTTCCTCATGAGTTGACAAAATACAGCTGGGAATTGAATATGTTGTGTTTGTTATAGTGACAAAAACACTATATGCCCACCTAGCAATGGAGCGCATACTAAAAACAGGCTTGGATTCAACAAAAACAGAGTAGTACATCAACATAAATAAGGTCAACGTGACCCTTGTTCTCACCATTAATCGTACAGTTCTGAGCCCACACAACCTGTCCGTCAGGCTGCACAGTCTGGTTCTGTGGGAAACGTATGTCAATGTTGAAGATGACCTTGGCACCAGATATGGTGGGTGAGTCATTCTTGATATCAAATGTCACCTCGCCACCTGGTTGAAAAGATGACAAAGCAAATAATATGGAAGAATAATTCCCTTAAGATCATGTTTTTGTGGAAATTAGATTGAAATTAGATTTGATTAAATTAAACTAGATACATTTCATTGATTCTGGGGGGAGATTTTTGAACGTTGTTGATCCTGGAGAAAATTCTAGAAACAGGGAGCAGCAGCTTTCAGACAATATGAAACATTCATTGACTGGGTCAGGGATTACAAAGTCATTCCCCATTTCAGCAGTTTTGGAATTTTACAGTTTTTGGAAAACTGTAGCATTTATTATGACTAAACTGCTAATTGAATTTACAACCATTTGGACTCAAGGCATACTGATAACCCATAAAGCATGCTAAATAGATATCAACTATTATATATGGGGGGGGGTAAAGTAATCAAATATTAACTTCCATTCATCCACCTTCTTGAACTGCTTATCCAATCAGGACTGCAGCAAGGCGTGCCCTATTGCATTATGCATACTGTACTGGAAAGAATGTAACCCAAACTGGGTGTCAAGCTGCCTTAAGACATACATTCATGTTTTAAAATCTCCATGACTGTGGATGGCACAAGGGAAATGGGAAGCAAAGGGTGATTTTCCCAATCAAAATATGAGGCAATTACAGATCACTCAGCCATCGCTGATTTTTTTTTGTAATAGCATCCAGCCGCTATAAGATAAAAACATGACAACGACAGAGTCTGATCTGTAATTTATATTGTAATATGTGAAAATACACCTTTCCAGCAGTCTTTGTAGCGAGAGTCCCCATTTTTCCACACTGGGTACACCCGTGAATTCCAGGATCGATAGCGTGTAAAACTGGTTTTAGTTCCTAAAAGAACAAGAATAACACAAAAAATTCAAATTAGTCGTATTTGAACTCCACTAACATGAGTATACTGCTTCAGAAAGTCCAATAAGCTATTCTTAAGCATTCGTTAAAAGACCATTGTTTTTTAAGAGAGAACTTTATACAATAGCTGCCAAAGAATGTTGCAGAAAGGCTAATAGTAAATTGTGATCTGGATGCCAAACAATATATGCTCACTGTTCTCAAGCTGCTCCCATTTATTTTATACAGTTATTTGATCTGAAGAAGCTGCGTGTTTGTGTGTGTGTGTGTGTGTGTGTGTGTGTGTGTGTGCTACCAGCACATAGGCTAGCACATACAGTATGCTATTCCAGAGATCCTAACCTGTGAGAGTCACATGATCCCTAACAATCGCCCTCAATCCCTTTCATGTGATTATCAGCTGAGAGTAGGCAGCCATAATCCTGATTCTGGTAAGGGTGAAGGTCTCTACAGGAATCTCAGAGTCCTGAGGATGCTAATCTGTGTGGCCCCACTTGCATAATTAATTATGGGGGGCCAAGGGATGATAAAATAATCAAAATAAAAATGTTCAATGTTCTAATCAGAATGAGTCGGAACCTTTTATATGTACAAAAACACCTGAAAATAAAAACTAAAATGATGCAAAGAAAAAATACCTATGGATATTTATATATTTAACATTAGGGGGATGTGACTTTCTGATGTGTGTCCTGACCTCCTACTGAACATTTCTGTGAGAATTACCCATCCGTCCCTCATGCAAAACAGATTGAACATATTTTTTCCTTTCCTCCTTTCAGCCCCAACAGCTGCCATTGTTGTGGTCATACTATATAATAAACAGAAATCATAACCTGTTACAATACTCAGTATTAGTACTGTAGTGATTAATTAGTACCTACATCTTATTTTTTTACACTTCTAATATGCATATATTTTACAATATGCAAACATTAAATGTCTTGTAAATGCCACAATTAATATATGGTATGTTGGTTCAGTAGAGTAGCAACAGCTCAACAGTTAGCTATCAGTAAGACCTCCAGCTGCTGGATTATCATACAAAGCTAAAGCACATTGAAACGCCCAGACACATAGGATAGGAAAACTTATATGCTTTTATGGTTTTCACAAACATCTTTTATTATTGCACAAATTATTATTATTGCACTCAGCCATGATATATATATATCTCAGTGACTTTTCGTCAAATAATACTATTTCAGTACATAATTGTTTTTTTCATATTAATACTGCATACTGAAACCTGTTTAATCTATTGATCTCACAACACACAGTTACTAAGATAATTGAAGGGGCAATTTCCTAAAAAGACAGACAGACAAATTGAACCACCACTCTGGATTCAAATCCAGTCCATGGATATGTGACATTTACTGCATGTACAGAACCTTACCATTGAAATATAAGCTAATCGAATATAAATCACTCAACCTTTCTGTTTAGTAAGATTCACATTTACTCAGGAATAACAAACCAAAATGATCTTCCATTTACCATTTGTCTTTACAACCTAAAATACAAAGCATTTGTTCCTCTGATCATATAACATTTAATTTCATTACTTAATTGTCAATATTATATTAAGCATTAATTTACTGAATCCAATTAAACATCATAGCAAATTGACCTTATACTTTGCAATGGTTTATAAGCAGTTTATAAGCAATTTACTCAGCTACTGAAATATCGCATTCTATGACTGGACCTAGCATTCCCATACCATCATTTTCATATTGTTAGCCTGTTTACTCATATGCTTGGCATTTAGATTCATCAATAAAATACTTCTCTGACTTTTCCCTTTCCAATTCATCTGCAGTCCCTAAATATATGAAGACAGGCATATTACAGTTAAGCTTTACTTACTTGCTGCAGCTGATGACAAGATGCAAGCAAATGTGACAGCAGCAAGAAAGGTCCTCATTTTCTGGGTTTTTGTGCCTTAATGTTTCTAATTATCAGATGAAATAGTTTCCCTTTTCTGCATTTCAGCACCTTACCAAAACCCCTCAAGTGACTGATATAATCGCTGAGGTCCTCTTTAAAAGATCTGCAAAGTATTAATTAGCATAAACTTGCCCCTCACTACTGACATCACATGATGCCTTCAACAAGGTACTTCCTACCCCTATGGTTACTTGGGGGTAAAATACCACAAAGATTATTTGTCACGTATAGAAATTACACCATTAAATGATAACTAGCCTAAAACTCAAAACGTCCTACTAAAATGGATAAAATTAAAAGTATAGTTGGCTAAACAATTATAAAATATTTTATGAAACCAAAAAATATCAGTATGTTGGCACAAACTACCCCGAATTCATATTTTTAGCATTTTAAACTCACACTAGCATTTCAGTACAATACTGAATATATGAATGTTGAAATGTTGCAATGGGTGACACCTCATCCAGGGTTATTCCCTGCCATGTTTCCATAGCGTCTCGGATAGGCTCCCGGCCCGTGTTCCTGAATAAGACAAGTGGGAACAGAAAATAGATGGATGAATGGATGGATGGATGGATGGATGTTGAAATGCAACAAACTGAACACAATAAAGACATTGATTTTTATTTTCAAATGAGTAATAAAACAATCATCCACCCAACTTACAGTCACGCAGTCAGAGGGTGTGGAGGCCTGGAAGTCCATTCCAGGGATTGCAGGACTCTGACAGGAGATCATTCAATCACAGAAAATTAATATTATGGACAATTTAGAAATACCAGTTAATTTGATTGCAGGAGGAAACACAGAAAACACATAGAATCATGCAAATTTTAAATACACATCACCATGCTACCCAAATAAGAAAACACAAATTTTTATGTATCTAGATTATATATAAATTATGCATATAAAAAACTCACATTACAATAAAAGAGACAACATTTTAAACAATGTTTTATGGTGCTTTTATTTCTGTTAGATGAAAAATTCAGTTTGGACAAGGAAAGAGACAACTTGTTGGAAGAAGGGCACAAATGTAGGAGATATACGGTGGAAGCTGATTGACTGCCACTTATGACGCGAAGCACCATGAGCAGAGAAACAGCCCTTTCATTATTTGCACCCATTCTCTGGTGTGGGAACGTTGTGACAAAGGGGGATGATAGCAGAGTGACTTGCGTGATGAGAAAGGGAAGACAGTCATGTACGCCAAATGTTGGCCTGCCGTACTTGTGAAAGACCCCAAAGCTATGCAAGGGGGGGTCACAAGACAATGCTTTAAGAAGGCAGATCAATGGGGCCCATTTATTCTTTACTCTGCCTGTTCTACAGCACACACAGCCTCACTTCCCCCCTGGGCCATCGCTTAATCTCCCGACAGCTCATTGCATTCCATTAAACTCAAGCCCTTCTAATGTCTACACACAAATTAACTACATCTTTCAGAAGACATAACTAATAATACGTTATTTCAACATTAGCTAAATTCAATATCTGGTCCTATTTCAAGTAGCAAGCATCAAAAACATACTAATTAAAATGTGTCACTTTATTTTTTGATATAATTATTATAGTTTGATAATATTCCGTGGTCTGGAATTCTGTAATTCAAACCAAAGAATAACAAATGCTAACAACTGAATGGGTGCCTTGTAAGGCATAAGGCAAGACTACTTATTTTCAGTGAAAGAGGGGTCTGTTTGTAACTGTACTCCAGCGGGAGACCATAGTAAGCCCATCCCTTTGGATGTCCTTTTCGGGCAAAGCAATTCATGTGACTACTCATGTGCTTATGGCCTGCTAAATCCAACTAAAGAAACAGACTAAGTATGCCCTTTTGTATACTGCGTGGCATGTATGAAAACTTCCGAATACTGTAACACAAACTGTTTAAAAAATAATCTGTCATAGGGCACCTTCCAGTTTAACTTTATCGTCTACCTGAATGTGGATCTTTATGTCACAATTAAACTTTTTATTTAAAGGTAATAAATTACAGTTAATCGATATCACTATTACAGGACTACATGGGTTAAGTGATAATAATAATGTCAAAACAATAGCACGAGAGTTTAGTGTCCAAAATTACATGATAAAAGTGTCTGGGATGATCTCCATATTCATCCATTTTAAGCTCCGGGTCCTGAAACATGTTAGAAATGGTCTGGAAAGGATCCATTCCTACGAGATAGAACAAATAATGCTAAAATAACATATTCTGTCGCCCTGAGATGATGTAGACAGGGAAATAGCAGGACACTTTGAAGTGTGAGTGGCTTTCAGTGACATGACATGGATAAACCGAAACATAATCTTAGTAGTTCGATAGGACAATAAAATGTTTGCTCACATTTTAAATGTGCTTTATACATCACATCTTGGACGATCGAGTGGAATATAAAATAACGTGCCCTGTAACAGGGAAGCTAAAACCAAAATTGGTATAAGGTCAAATAAATGAATTCCAGGTGACGCTATTTTAATTTACATATAATTCATCTTCCACTTATCCGTATAAGAGTGGATCGTCTTTTTTGTGTAAAATCTCAGTTCTTCTATCTATTTGATACCGGAACAAACTGAACTAAAGAGACTTAACGAGGCTACACAATCTTGAGAATTTCCAAGAACATTTCGATTAAGCAGGATCAAGAATCTCTTGTGACTTCCAAATTCCCAGTAATTTGGCTTTTGAGAGAAATTCCCCACCATTGTTTCCAGTCGTAGCAGATCTAAATGCACAAAAAGCTTTGTCAGTTGACTATCACACAGTCGTAGTATATAACCACAAACAATTCCATTAAAGGTAAAATATATGATCTATATTGTAGATCAAGTAGCCAAGGACGTAGATTTGAGTGTGGACAGTAGGGACATATTTCTACAAGTATTGTGAAGGTTTGTGTTTAAGATGACGAGGGGGATCGAAGGATTCGTACCCGGGAGCAGCCAATACTGTATTTCACTCAAGTAACTTTTCGTGGCAAAGACAACCGCCTTTTCATTTTTAGTAGGCGGGGCTAATCATTAACCGCATCCTTTTATTGGTTTATGGCCGAATGGGCGTGTCGCAGCGCCACAAAACCAACCCCATCACAATATGCCCGAGCTCGGAGGGGCTGGATGGGGGGGGGGTCACTGCCCAAATCTTGATTCAAGGGGCGTGGTGAAATCAACGCGGGAACTGGAGTATTCGGTTTCTGCTGTTTTTGAGTAGGATCGGTGTCTATGTCTGAAGAAGTGACTTTAAAAACATATACATATGTAATGTTCCCTAATATCTTGATATTATCTTGAAGATATTTTTTGGGCTGAGGAGGAGGAGGAGCAGCGGTGGTGCTTCGATTGCTCGGCGGGCGGAAGGAAACCGGCAAGCAAAGGGGGGGGGGAGCGCACGAGCCGCTGTCGGGGACATGGAGTCATTTCAGAAAGTGGAGAAGATCGGTGAGGGCACCTACGGGGTGGTGTACAAAGCCAAGAACAAGGTCACCGGAGAGACCGTCGCTCTCAAGAAAATCAGGCTGGACACGTGAGTGTGACTCGTGTCCTCTTCCCAATGGCGGTGCTGCCCGTTTCATTGGCAGCTTGTTGATATCGACAAGTTATGCAGACGTTTGTAACGGGCTAATTGTACTGAAAATGCATTGAAGTGCACGGAAGTCTTAGAGTTATTTCTTCTTTGAGTTTTGTTTTAGATGCTCATCATGGTGGTCGTATAAGTGGGGTATAGCCAGCTCAGGTTTTAGGCAGTAATAAGGTTCCTCGTCTATAAGCGCTAAGCGAGCGGCCTAATGTATAGTTGGAAAGAAAGATGGGTTAACTTAAACAACTTTAGAGGCATTTTACTGCCACGGGGTCTGAGTTTAGAAGCGCCCAGCGCTTGGATTTAATAGTAAACTTCGCTGGGGGGAACCTTTAAGGGGGGAAGCAAATTACCGTCTCACTTGCGTGCATTACAGAATAGCTTCCCTTTTCAGCTTAACTTGGGGACAAACCGCAAGCAATGTGTGCATCTGGTGGGTTAGAAGCGGAGTGTTGATGTTATTAGCCTTGTTTTGTTTCAGAGAAACGGAAGGAGTTCCCAGTACTGCCATCAGAGAAATCTCCCTCCTGAAGGAGCTCAGCCATCCTAATATTGTCAAGTCAGTGGCGGCGTTACGATTTTTTTCTCCCATTAATTAACTTATTGCTCGATGACAGAAGCAATCCTTGTTATTATTGACTAATGCGATGTTCTTTGGGTTTGTTTTGTGAGTTGACTTTATGTTTTAAAACACTCTTTACATTACGTATGCAGTTCTTACATTCCCAGTATTCTTTCCTGTAGACTCCGTGATGTTATTCACACAGAAAACAAACTTTATCTGGTATTCGAGTTTCTTCATCAAGATCTGAAGAAGTTCATGGACTCTTCCTCAGTTACTGGCATTTCCCTCCCATTAGTAAAGGTGAGGACCGTGAAAATGAAATATGGAGAATAAAATAATGTCAGCTGAGTCATTGTTGTTGTAAGCACATTTCTGTTGATTTGCTCTAGAATAGTAAACAAGTCAACATATAGGCTTGACTTATAGTATAGTAAAGTGTCTATCTGTTGTCAGCAGTGATTTGGTAATGAAGTTAAGTTGAGTTATGCTCTGAAGGTTGTGTATTTCGGTTTTTGGTGCTGCATGTTGCATATTGCTGTCTGTTATTTTCAAACTTCAAAAGGCAACTGTGGTTTTTTTTACAGTAGTCAAAAATGTAACATTAGGAATAATCATTATTTTTCTCTCTCCAGAGCTACCTCTTCCAGTTGCTGCAGGGACTTGCTTTTTGCCATTCTCATCGTGTGTTACACCGTGACCTTAAGCCCCAAAATCTCCTCATCAATGCCCAAGGGGAAATCAAGCTAGCTGATTTTGGTCTGGCTAGGGCATTCGGGGTACCTGTTCGCACCTACACCCATGAGGTGAGAAACAAAAGATATCTGGACTGTCTATTACAGATAATTTCAGATATTTGCATTAAGGCATTATTAAACAGATGTTTAGTTGTTTAAGTGATGCTTACAGTTTCAGAATGTATTGTGCCTCATTTCTGTACTTGGGAATTGAGTAAATCTCAGCCCCTATCCCATTAGTGTCATGTTGCCAAACTAGACAGCCCTAGTCAATCTGCACAGTTTTGTATACAGGAAAACGTTTTTTCCTCCCTAATGTAAATGCCTCAGCAAAAGTTTTTTTTTTTTTGGATGAGTCCAGAATCATGGATAGATTTCTGCCCTTTCTGTGCAGTGATGTTAAAGCTGCTGGCAATCTGTCTGTTGCAGGTGGTGACTTTGTGGTACCGAGCACCAGAGATTCTCCTTGGCTGCAAATACTACTCCACGGCAGTCGATATCTGGAGTCTAGGGTGTATTTTTGCTGAAATGGTAAATGCTCATTAGCGTTTTGTGTTGTGTCCTTGGTGATGGGTAGTCACCAGTACAACAACTCAGCGGTGTCAATTCTCCCATCAAGTACTAAAGTAAAAAAAAAAACAAAAATAGTTACATGCGTTTCAATTAAGCGTATTCTCCCCTCATCGGCGTGGACATGTGCATCACACTTAACCGAAAAGAAGGTGTGGTCCTATAATTAATTCATCAAGCAAGCAAAGGGTGTTGCACCCTTGATGATTTTGGCAACAAGTAAAACGTGGAACATGGACTATTTAATTTTTATTGTGAGCCGAATTGAAATCCACAGAAAATTTTCATTTTGAAAATGAAAGCATTCCAGTAGCCTACTATGCATAAATGTAGTCATTTTCAGGAGAACGAATTAGCCATATTAAAATTGTGTAAGTTATAGCTCTGATTTAATGATCCCTCAACCATTTTCCTTGAATAGGCATCACCATTGCAGTTGTAAGGTTTAAAAACATCTTATCTAGTTTTGTGTTATTTTGATCTTTCAACTTTACTGCAACTTACCTACAATAGACAATCAGTTGGTATACAGTAAAATCCCGTTATATGGTTACCAGTTAAGCGAGTGTCCTGCTCAGGTACGTCACTTGGGGTCCCCTCAACTAGGTCATGAAGTACATGTATGTGTACAAAAATGCAGGACAGATCGGAATAAAACTGAGCGCTTCACGATAAACCCGGAAACGTGATGTATTCAGTGTCGGACAATTGCCACTTATCAAGACAACGGGATCCCTGTCTATCCCACTTTTGCAGGAGTGCAAATACATGCATTATGGCTTAGGACTGTGAGGACACAGTACTTCCTTTGAACCTACTTTTTACACATTTTAAAATGTATGGATAATTTTTTTTAACCAACCAGTCATTTAGCCTAGTTGATTTCACCTACTAGGCATGTTCACAGTCAGATGTCACTTGAACCATGCCTAATGATAATATATTTTGTATATACTTAAATACTGTTGTGTTATGTAGTCCTTATATAATAATAATAATTATTCATCTATTTTTGAATTGTGACATTTTCAAAATGTATAATACATGTTGGAAAGTTTCGTTTTTGTTACATGTTCGGGTTTTCTGAAAACTGCAGTATTGTGTTTGGCTGTGTAGAGGTGTGTGACAGCCTTCTAGAGCACATAGTGAAAAGTGCACTTAAGTCAGTGGCAGAATGGAGTTAAGGGTCATTAACATACGATGCCCAGATTTTTATGTTACTCCGCTGAAAGTGCATGTCTAGCTTGAGTGGAGTTCAACGCCAAACTTAAGTCTATGGGAGAATATGCTTCAGTCAGAAAAGTGAATGGTTAACAGTTTTTTTTTTTTGTTAAGTGCATGGAAGAATTGAACCGAGCATGATTAGTGTTTGGTGGAAATCCTTGTTCAAGATCCATGTACGACATCAACAAAACACAAATTGGCATTAATTTTTCTGCATTGGTTGAGAAGATGCATTAATTTATGCAAGTTATTTTAAACATTTGTAAGGCAAATGTAGTTGGCCTTCCCTGTTCAACAATTTTTTTTTACTTCCATTGGAGGAAGAAATAATAGATGAATTATGTTCATTCACTTTTGAATCACTTAACTAACTTTTTGGTGTGACTCATTAATCTAATCAAGCTCTTTTTTTCTACCATGGTCATCATATGATTGCACTGACTTGTAGCTTGTCGTTTATTGCACCGTTGTTTGCCTTTTTGACCCACTATGCACTTTTCCCTGCCCCTGCAACTGTGGTACAAGAATTTCACTGTCTTCCTCAGAACACGTGATGATAAAACTTGAATTTGATTACTGCTAAAAACATCGAAATTAGATTACTTCAGATTTGCATAAACATTACTTGCATGATAGCTGTGTGGTTTGTTTTAGTGTTTTAGGATGTGCTGTCTAGCTACAGGTTATTACCTGTTTCTCAATATGCCTGTGCTTGATCTCATCCCCCAGGTCACAAGGAGGGCATTGTTTCCAGGCGATTCAGAGATTGATCAGCTCTTTCGGATCTTCCGCACTCTTGGAACCCCTGATGAGGAGGCCTGGCCGGGTGTAACGTCCATGCCAGATTACAAGCCCTCCTTCCCAAAATGGGCACGACAAGAGCTATCCAAAGTGGTTCCTCCACTCGATGAAGACGGAAGGGATCTGCTGGCGGTAAGCTGCATGAGGAATATAGTTTTTTTTTAATCAGTATAAAATGTTGACATCTCAGATGTCAGTTATGCATTGTATTAACTTGAAGTAATTTTTACATGAACGTTTGTTTTTTACAATAAGGAATTGTTTTCTGGTAAAGATTTAAGTTCTGTTTGCATTCTGTGAAATTGAGTATAACACTATTGTCCACTTTGTAAGTCAGTCAGCAAATTTTTAATTTAGTATGCAGTATTGTCTACTTTGGGAGTAACAATATAGGTATGATATATCCTCTTTTTCTTTCTCAAGCAAATGCTTAACTATGACCCAAGTAAGAGGATCTCTGCCAAAAATGCCTTAGTCCACCGGTTCTTCCGTGACGTGACCATGCCGATTCCACACCTGCGACTCTGAAAGACCAGCAGAGATTGGACACTTGTTAGTGGAGGAGCCTGTGCTGCATTACCTGGATGCCCTCTGCTGTTTTTTATAACTGCTCAGAAGTGGAGTGTTATCCCTTTCAGAATTCAATGGACTACATTGGTGCTCTTTTACAGCGACTCAATTTCTGCTAATTTCTAGCTGCCATTTTGAATCTCTGGTTTTAAGTCTCAGTCAAGCAATAATTTTACCTTTTGAGACTGAGTGGAGAGAACTCATATAGACCATCTAACGTTCCACAACTCCCAGTTCTAAATGCTCTTTGGAAGGATAACTTCTTGGGATTAGAAAATCACAGCCCTTTTTTGTACCGTTAATAAATTTGTATTTGGTAAATGGGGGACAAAAAGGTTAATTTTAGCAATCCTCCGTATTTGTCATTTACCTAGAAAATTGCTGATCAGTGTTTTTTTGCCCTTTTAGTACTTGGCTTTATGATGTGTAGATGTCAGTAAATGTTATATCTTTGTGGGGTGGGCACAGAAATAACCAGTTCTTGTTTTAATAAGTTTTGAAAACCATCTAGCTAATGTATATCTTTTCATACAAAATCAACACATTGTACATTTCTCATTCATGAAATGTGTTCACCTGTACAGTTTTTGTACGTATTATAGGTTTATATTCAAAAGGTGGAATAAAATCAGTTTATGTTCTCTTTTTAAGCATTATCCTAAATTAAGCTATTGTTCCAATGTTGTTCCAGTATGGTATGCAGACATATGTTCATATGCTATCTGTTTTTGCATAATACTTAACACAATAGAGAAAAGAGGACCGTATCTTTGCTTAGGCTGTTGAGATCTGGAGCTTTTTTTTTTTTTTTTACTTAACCCGCCTAAACCGTGTTCATGCCAACGCCGTGCCCGTTGACATTTTTGAATAACCGAAACTCGACGTCGGCAGTCGGACTCTGCTTAAAAACTGTAAAAAGAAAAAAAAAAGGCTCCTGTCGGTGTTCTGTACAATTTGTAATTCCTAAACCTGCTTTTTTGATAAACAGTTCAGAGTGTTATTGACGCAGACTTCCACGCAATTCATTTGGCGGGTCCCACAAAACCATGGTGAACATAATAGCTTTTATGTAAACTGTAGTGACTATTATTGGAGCAAATTTGTATTGCCATAATACACAATGTAAAATAAAACTTGTTATAACCAAATTACTTTCTTGGATAGGATCCAGATGCTTTACACGATCCTGTACACCGCTAGGAAATGAACGACTGGAAAAGCTTGGCCAAGCTGTAAGCTGGTTATCTGAGGAGGCGCCCAGTTACTCATGAGCCTCAGCTGTTGTCCCGTATATATTAGTATATTACCTTCTTTAGTACAGCTCACGTCCGAGACGCTTGAAACGTGCTAAATATATATTTACAGTATGGAGTCTATACACAAAGAAAGTTAACCGGCTGTCATAAAGTGTCGGCACTCCCAAGTGTCACCGCTAGTTGGCGGCTCACGCAACTTCCAATCAGCGTTTCTCCGCCTTACCCGGCGCTCTTTTGCCCCGCGGATTATTGGGAAACTGAGTGTGAGGAAGTGGCAAGCGAAGCTCTGTCGCATTTGTCCCACTTGGGGACAATGTGCGAATGTTCATTCGCCTAGGGCAAATATTAGAGTGGCTGTGTTCGAATTCAAGGGCCCTTTATATACACTTATGCGCTTTTAAAGTATGTTTTAATATTTACTAAAAACGTCACCACAGTGTGTAGTATCTCAGCACGCTTGGTTGTGTGTCAAATGGAACGAAGACTGTCCTGGCATAAACGCTACGCTGTTTCGTATAGAAGATAAGCATATCCGTGTGAGAGCGAAACTAGGGCTTTGTCAGAATTCAGGAGCTGCATCCTTCTAAGGCTGCTTTCGAAGACTGATGTGGTACAAGCAGCGGGACAAGGTCGTATTATTTTGAAGGTTCTTTCAAATGCAGCCTAGAAATTAGTTATTTTGCCGAGATCCCAAGATTCATTGCGCGAACCTTCGAAGGACGCAGCCTACAAAAGTCCTAATGCATTACAGCAATACGACAAGGCTGTCCCATTCCGAAGGCTCCTGCTCTGTGGAGTATGCGCCCGATGAATCCTTCGCATTCCAACATATCCCAAGATTCATTGCGCAGGAGTAAAGTGGGTGTGTCCTGACTAGGCGATAGGAGCGACGGTTCGTGACTCAAGGGTAAGGGCGGGAACAGCTGGTGACGTTTGACAACGCTGTGTGTTCAACCTTTGAAGAATGCAGCTTACAAAGGCTACGCGTTCATAGACCGCGTCCTTCGAAGGATGCAGCCCTTGAATTTGGACACAACCTAGGATGACTATACGTTATATTTATCTCCGACTTATCCTTTTGTAACTTAAAATGTCACATGTCCGGGATTTCGATTTGTTTCATGTTGACATCTGCTTTCTACAGTCAGAATACTTTCTGTGTGCATATTTACGATGTTTTGACGCTTCTCTTTGCGTCCTGCCCCCGGTGTCTTTTTTGCAAAGCAAAATACGGTTACCGTAGCACTGAAGCCTGGAATATATGCAATAAATGTATTAAGCTATATTGTGTATAGATATCCATTAGAAATAGAAAAATGCAACGAAGGTAGCTTTTTATATGTATTAGTGTCTGTTGAGATATTCCAAGTGCGTGCATGTATTTTTTGTATGATTTGGAAATCTAGAGAAAAGTCCTGTAGTAGAGTCTAGTCTTTGTACCATACAAATTTTGTTTTTCAAAAATATGTTTATCAGGAAGCTCTGAAATAGTTGTGCTTAATCAATGCAAATACACACAGTATCAAATAAAGATAACATGCACATCAATATTTGTTGCCTGAAACGGTTTTCAAGAAAACTAATAATTGCTGGGCAAATTTAGTACATTGCTTTAAGAGACATTTAAGTACTATTAATTTAAGTACCTTACAAATAATATGAAACAAAATGACAACTCAAGTAATTCATAGCAGTTTAGTAATCAAATACTATCATACAGAAATATAGTTATGTATAAATAAAATTAATTTATTTTATTTTTGATTCCTCAAATTGAAAAATATTTTAAAATATTACAGCCAAAAGGCCTAGCCAACACACATGAATACATACGTGAAAATAAAATGACAATTACTGTTGTCATAGATAACGTCTTTATATAAAATAGCCAAACTTAATATTATTTTTTGTTATAACTGGCTTTTCCACCAGGCTGATTTTATTCTGATTTTATGTGACCAGATGAGGTGGGTCTTATGTGACCAGTAGATGGTAGACTAGGTCTACATCTAGACATCCAAAGTATGCTTAAAAGACTGAAACACCTTCTAGTGACATGTGTTCGTGATGTGTGGACTGTCTCACCTACAAAGTGACCATCCAGATACTGAAGTGTAAGTAAGTGGAATTGTAATAGTGGAATTTATATTGCCTGATCAGGAATATTATGTCAAACAGACTTACAAATTTATCTGTTTTAAATACACTTGTCTTTGGCTGTCAAAATGTGCTGCACATAATGAATGAATTTTCATTCTGAAAATCATGACAGGGTATGCAAAATGGGGAACATATAATTAAAAACTATAGTAATGGAGTGCCTTATATTAAGTATTTCTCATAGAAATGTATTTGTACGTATCTTAAACCCTTTTCAACCGTGGTATTGCTTTGTTAAGTTGCTTTGTTATAGGTAAACAAAATCCTCAGAAAGGCAATCAACATTTTTCAGACAGAAGGTATGTATATGTTAATGAAAATCATTTTTAGAGAAAAGCTGTCATGTGTTGAATAACATCATCTTTTTATCTTTTTTTTGTAAAAAAAAATCACCAGATTACTGTTATGCTGTTAGACATTCCATGTGAACGCTAATTTTTACCAATAAGAAGGTTTGAACAGTTTAATAGTCACAGTGCAGTTAATTATACAATTTTTTGTAATGCTTTTTTAAACAAAACTTTAATATGGTCTTTCCAGAATAGCAAAGTTGTCTTTTACAATTTTAGTAATGTTTGGTTAAAGGCATAATTAGATGAAGAAGATGTGAATCAATCCTTGGCTCGAAAAACATACCAATGAAGATTCGTTTTAAAATAACATTTTAAGTATACTAAATTATATAGTCAATTGCATTTAAGATATGTAGTGATCTGTAACCTGGTATTTGTGTTGTATGTATTGTATGTATGGATTTTTGATGATTTCTGCTTAAGAGTATAGAATGCTCACCATTTCCAAATTTGTGACAATAGTAGGCCTTGTAATGTAGGTTCAGTTCTTCTGGTCTTGCAGGAAGTTGAAAAATCCAATTAATACTTTTTTGGTGTTTTTTTTTTCTATAAGAATTTTTTTGGATAAAATATTATGTCTGTCCAAGCATAAAACAATATTCTGTTAAGCTTTGTTTCTTTTCCGTATCAAATCAGTGATGATATTTTGAAAGTGAGCATTTGTTCCATTTTCAAAGTGAAGAACAAGTCTTCTATTCACGTTAACCAAATACTAGGTTTCAAAAATAAAAGCTACAATGAGTGTATAATCAAAGCTAATTTTGTAGTTTTCCAAAATAATATAATTGCTCCAATCATTAATTGAATGAAATGCAGCATGAAATTAATCACAATAAGTGATATCCATACAGGTTTTTCTGCCAAGAAAATCACAAATATGCCTTTCTTAATGTTACCTCTAACCTTTAATGTTATATTATGATTCTTTTACTGGTCAGGTGACTTAGAATTTGTGATCCCCATTTTAATTTTTTCTTTTGTCTGTTTGAAGATGCATTATATAATTTTGGATGGGATTTCATGTTATTTGGAAAAACTAGACAATATAATTTAAGATCTTTCCCAGAACCCTTATCCCAAAATATTGTCATGAAATACAAGCCTAGTACTTCATGTTTTATATACCTGTTTCACCCCAAATTCAGTTATCCATATATAAAAGTGTGAGTTTTCTGCAGTATTCAGTCAATCGAATTTCAATGGGTTTGTTGCACACATATGCAATATTTATGTTATTTTTATGGACTGCCACGCTATCTTACCTTGCCTGTTTTTTACTATTATTTTTAACACAACGGAAACTGTTGGCCACAGGGGGCTGGTATAATAGCCCCTGGTTGGCGGTAAATGGTGTTACGACTCTGCAGAGAGTGAGGAGCAAATTCAATTATCGCGGCAGGGCTTTTCAGTGCATGCTTTGTGTGCAGTCGGAAGTGCCCAGCACCAGGCTCCTGGGGAGGCAAGCTACAATGCTTGTTGTGTAATGACAGTACAAGTTCAGTTCCCTCCCTTTCATCCCCTACATTTGGCATCTTTTTGCAGAGAAGGGTAACTTGAGGAAAGAGGACCATGTCTCTTCTATTTCAGAAGCTGCATCATTGACCAACTACAAAATAGGCATAGCTGTAGTCCAGGATCTGGTGTTTCTCCAGTGTATCTGTGATTTATTTCACAAAGCAAATTTTTCTGTTCCATGTACAGTATACACAATTACACATGCTATGTAATTTGCTGATTCTTTTTTGTAGTATTTTAAGCTTGTTATTTTTTAGATGTGTAAAGGTTTTAATTCTTCCCAAGAACAATTAATAATATTCTAATGCATCCTTCCTTCAATGTTACTAAATAAAGCAATTACCCAGAGTATTATATTTAATGTGTTTCAGTTAACTTGACTTTAATGAACTGACAGGTTACATGCAAAAACTGGTCAATATTAACCAATGGATTTTACCACTGCAGCCACTCTAACCATTTTTTTTTTAAAAGCATGAACTGAATCTGTTACACTTTTACTGTGTGGATGTGTGTGAAGATCAGGGGTGTGGGGGAATGAGAGAGTGCAGGGGTTAGTATACACCAGATTTTGCTCAATACCCCAGCCCCCCTTAAACCCTCCACCAGAGTGGATTGTCCTTGAACGGGTCTCCCTGGTCAGGGATAATCAGTAGTGACAGGACAGAGAATAGTTCTGGCAGCCATGGTAATTGTTACAGAGAAGGGACTGTCACTCCGGCCACCCCCCAGAGAAGGATATTCAAAAAGAATAGGCCCAAGAGATGAGCTGGTACACCTCGGGGCTTTTGTGCTGGTTCAGCTAGGCAAGGCTGGAGCAAGCTATAGGGCAGGAGCGGACCTCATTGTTTTGTGTGTATCTGTGCCTCTCTAAAGAAGTAAACGGGTCCCATTGGAATGTTCAGTTGCTTTTTTAATATTAGAACTGTTGCAATCTTCAGCATATAATTCCTTTCACATTACCCGAACACTGTGCATGTGGTCCTTGGATTCGGACACAGTAGGAGTAATGCAACCTTTTTCGAATTTAATTATTGTCGTGTCACTGGAGCATTACATTCCTTTCCTCCAAATAAGTGCTGTCTCACTCCAATTGAGCTGGTTAAATGTGAAAGCCATTGAATAGAAGAATCTCAATGGGACAAAATAAAGTATTGCAATAGTTCAGGAGTGCGGTTGGGAGAAAAGCACTCAATGTGTTAACATTCTCAAGAAGAAATGCATTAAGTTAGGTTTTTGGATAAATAAGAATCTTCCGCTAATTAATGATTTCATAGTTCTTTTAACTCTGTTTTTGAGAAGGGAGGGCAGGATGAACACACACGCAACCATGTACACATACACACGTACACTCGCGTACATACACACACAGTTGCTTCTCACTTGTCCGGCATTAGCCCAAGAAAAGCAGTCTATTGTTTGCTAGTGAAAGGCTCTTGTTTCAGCTTTGTAACTAAATCAAGAGCTCCTTCTACACAATGAGAACTGCACTGCTTCACTCCCCAGATTGTGTCCATTCGAGTGTCAGTGAGGTATTAACCCTGTTCCCCCATTGTTAGGCAAGCGCTGCTGCACCCTGCCCACTCTTCTGTTCCTTTCTGTTCTAACTACTGTCTCACAACTATTCTTTAAGCTTGAGAACCAGTTTTGCTTTTTGTCTTTAAAAAGGTATTGACCATAGCAATAGTGTTAACCTGAGTTGTTTAAACTTGCTGTTTCAGATGTGAGCGGGCCTAACTCATAAATACAGTATTTTGTATCTTTATGTTTGTTTGTTGAAAATATTCATAACTGAGGCTTAAAATTCTTTTGATTGTTCCTTTTGCTTTTTGTTTTCCTCACATTTAAAGTCTTAACAGAGGATCGTACTTTACCTGCT